TAGATTTGAGAGGCTCTGTTGTTCACTTCTGTGCCATTCCTATGCCAGCCCCAGGCCAAGCGTTTTGGCGCCAAAGCCAGGGTTGTTGGCACCAACTGAACCCATGGGCTTCTCCTCCTATATATAGGTCATCAGCCCTATCTGTTGCCACTCATCCAACTTGAGCTCTATCTCCTTCACCTCTCTCCTGCCACAGTCATGTCTCAAGCTTCTAGCAGCTATGGTGGTAGGGTCAAGCGGGTGATTTGCCCCAACTGTCATGTGTTTGCCAATCGGTTCATCCTAATGGCCAGAAAGAACAACAACCATGCCTTTTCACAAGTGCCCTATTTTGCCGTTTGTGTTTCCTTCTCTGCTCATTTTTTTCCTTTGTCTATTTCTTTTTTGTTATTTGGTGACAATGTGTTGATGCTTTGGGTTTCAGATTGGAAGCTGTCAGTATTATCAGTGGGAGGATGAAATGGAGGACACTGAAGTGCAGACACCTACAACCCCTGCTCCACTATAGGCAGTTCCCCTACAGGCAGTGGCACCACCTGGTGGTTTCCCTATTGTAGCTCCTCTGGCCATCATCCAGGAAGGTTCCCAGACTGCTGGAGTTGCACAAGTGGAGAATAGAATTGATAATAGGGTTCTACAATAGCTTAGGTGGATTGAGAAGATGGTCTATGTTTGCATATTTCTTGCTTTGTATGCTATTTTAAAGAAGTAGGTGCCTATGTGTGTGTGAGTAGTCATGGATGAATGGATGTATGGATGGATGGATGAATGAATGAATCAACGTTGAATGATGATTATGAATATTGTTCATTTGTTCAGAATGCAACAACATGTGAGAACAGTATAACAACAATTAGAGTACTGCAATAGTAAACTAGCATTTATCACATAACTGGTGTTCATCACATAACAGCAGTTATCTTACTGTTTTTCATCACAAAGGTTTCATGGCACCAACATATCACCAATATTCATCACATAGCAGCTAAGTTACTGGTTTTCATCTATGGCTAAGTACTGTTTGCCATCACAGAGCAAAAGAACAATTATGCCATCACATAGCAGGTGTTTTTCTAGAACCACATCACCAAAAGAACATTGAGCAGACACATGTCACTGCAGCTGGAGTTTCTTCTTGCTTCTGGTATTTGAAGCAGGGCTAGTTGGGCTGGATGAGCTGGCTGCTGCAACTTAGAGCTTCTTTGGTGTAAGCTTCTTCTTGATCCCTATATTCCTCCTTGGTGAAGCCTGGGGCAGCACAGTCTCCAGTGGCTCTGTCTCTATTGTAATGGAGTCTTCATGTAAAGGGGCCATATGCACAGTTTGGATTGGAACCGGGTCATTTGAACCAGTTCCAGACCTTGTGGCAAAAAGGAAGAGTGTGGATTAGCATTAGCAGTCATAATAGAAGTGTTGTGATCAATTAAAGAGCTAGCAAATATACATGTTAGCCACACTATTTGTACCTGAGCTTGAAGTAGTAGTGGTAGCTACCCCCTTGTTCTTCTTGGCACCAGAAGAAGAAGAAGATTTCCTCTACCTTTTCTTGTGTGTAGCATTGACCACTGTCTCATTGTGTGGGGACACCTTCTGGGATGGAGTAGCAACTACAATGCTAGTTCTGTGTTACAGCTTGCTGCTTTTTTAGCCTTTTCTTTGAAAGACCACTACATAGGAAAAGTTACATTAGTTAACTAAGTTATTGAAGCTGTATATGTATCTACAAAGTAATTTAGTTACATAGTTTACCTTTCAGCCTCCATTGCAGCTATATCTTCTGAATTTCCATTCTTACAAGTGTACTAGTGATGCCCTAACTCATGACAGATGGGGCACTCATGTTTCTTTGCCCTCCTCTTGATGCTGCCTCCCTCAAGTGATGATTTCATCCTATTCTTCCTTCTATCTCCTGTGGACCTAAGACAGGGAGGGTGCATGAAAATGCCATGTGTAGATTTTTGCCACATGCTCTTGTCAAAAATACAAGGGATGGAACCCTCATATGCAGCTCTGAATTTGTTGATAAAGAAGTAATCATCCATATGGTCTTCCAGTTTTTCACTAGGAATTGAAGTAATGTAGGCTATTGCATGCTTGCATGGGAGTCCTGACCCCTGCCAAACCCTACAGGAACAGGTTCTGTCAGGTAGGCTAACCACAAACCTGAAGCCACTACCTCCCTTAGCACACAATTCTGCCACACCATTAGGAGAGGCTGTGATCACTTCAATGTCCAGGTTGTAACTGTCTTCCCTTAGCTTCTGCAGGATGTGAGGCAGGATCTTTCCTTCCAACTTCTTGGCTACCTTTTTCCTATGATTCCATTTGATCAAAATCTTCTGTCTTATAGTGTCCAGCAAGTTATTCAGGTGCTTTACCTTCTCAAGCTTGATCCAATTATTGAATGACTCGGTCAAATTATTAGTCACATAATCAACCTTTGACAATATCCTGTATTGGCTCCTGGTCCAAAGTTTCTTGTGAGTTTCTTGCAGATACTTCATTGCCTCAGGTTTGGCTGTAACCATTGCTTGATAGTGCTTCTCAAACATGTAAGGGCTCCATGAATATGAAGAAGCCCACAAGTGATCATCAAATACCTTCCCACTATACATCTTCTTGAAATTCTGTACTAAGTGATACATACACTCTCTATGTTTAGCATTTGAAAAAACTTCACTAACCCCATTTATGACTGCCTGGCCACAATCTGTGCAGAATGCCAGGGCCTCTGGGGTGCCTATTTCTTCCTTCAACCTCTCCATGAACCACACCCAATTCTAATTGGTTTCTGAGTCAATTACACCAACAGCTACTGGATATATCCAATTATGCCCATCTACCGCACAAGCAATGCACAATTGTCCCATAAACCTTCATATTAAAAATGTGCTATCTACTGCAAGATATGGTCTACAACCTCTAAGAAATCCATCGACACATGGTTTCCGTGCAAAGAATAGCCTATTGAACCTGATCTTATTGTTGATGGTGTGATTATTAATGACAAGAAATGATTCAGGACTTAATTCTTCTAACTGGGCCTTAAGCCTATACATATTATCAAAACTTTTGTCCCAAGATCCATAAATCTTATCCATGGCAAGTTTTTTATCTTTATACACTCTCTTGTAGGGCACCATAATTTTATGTGCATCCTTCAACCTCCTTTGCAGTTTTGTTCCACCCAGAGTTCTATCTTCCTTCAGCCAATCAATCACCTAACTGCACACCTAGAACTATGTTACCCTTACACGATTCCTGCTCTGACACTCATGAGGGTAGGGGTTCCTTTTCACCTGCAAAACAATCAAGTAATACACTTATTATAAGCCACACAATGCAAGAAAAATAGGGAGCAGTCAATGAAAATAATGTACTAACACATTACCTTAATAGTGTGCCCATCCCTTAGAGTTGAGGCATGAAGTCTCCACCTACAGCCCTCACTCTGCTGTGAGTAGTTCACTCTATACCTCCCTGTATCACTCTTCTCAATGTCATAGTTGAACTCGTGTTTAACAGCATGAGTAGCTAAAGCAATCTTAAAAGCAACCATGTCTAAATACACTGTTCCTATTGATATAGGAGAGTCCTTGTCATAATCAACATCAGGCATATATTCAGGCTCCCTATCTTTAACCATATCATCTATGTCTTCTACTTCATCATCAGAGGATTTATCATCAGAGTCTATCTCAAAGGATTCATCAGCACCAAAACTCTCACCTTCCCTTTCTTTACTCCCACCTTAGCTCTGAGGATTGGAAGGAGATGGGGATATTGGGGACCAAGATCAATATATAACCCTTACTCATCAACATACACATACTTATTCATTGGGTTTGGGTTAGCTAGGTATTCAGGTTCAGCAGATTGAGTGTATGTGACATGGCTTGGTTCTGCTAAGCTGGGACAAGCAATTGAAAGGGTGAATGGGGGTTCAACAGAGTTCATAGTGCTACCAGAATTCCAATCAGAATCACAGGGGGCTCACTACTTAGGCTATGATATGCAATAGTCAACAAGCAGCATTTGAAAGCCTTATGTTTTGCAAACATTTCAACCAAATCTTGGTCAGTGCAGACTTGGATGTTCACTTTACTATCCATGCAGAAATAAAACAATCTCACTATGTCACCGTAGTCATGTGGATACTTGTCAACAACTTCAGCAACCAGATCTATGAAATTAGTGCGGTCAGCATCCACCACATTGTTCAACAAAAACCATCGCGCACGAGAATTGGGAGCAACAATCTGAATTTCTAAGTTGTAGCTACTTTTTGCGTCCATCCTACAGATGAACAAGGAGCACGCAATCAACACTACAAACACATAACACAAACGGAGGGCACTAAATACCAATCAACACTACAAACACGGGGCACCACGAAACCAAGGGGAGAAGCAGTGAACTCACCCGTCCGGAACCCAATCCGGTCACTCGCCCACGCCCTTGTTCCCCGCCATGCCACGTCTATCCTCTGGATCCACGGTTGAATTCACGCTCCACTACCCCATGTGCCGCCACAAGCACGGAGAATTTGTCGTCTTTTCTCCCAGCCGCCGCTACAGCCTCCGTCACCGGATCTATCGTCGCTAGGGTTAGGGAACTGAGGGAGTCGAGCGAGAAGAGAGTGAGAGCCTGAGGAAGATGCCGGTCAATATCGATCAATACAGCCTCTATATATGCCCGTGACTGAAGGGGCAACATGAATATTTTTCCTACCTGATCCCACATGTAAGAGCTGCCAAATGATCACAACCAAATATAATATAGATGAAATGATGTGTCGAATACAAAGAGTTTAGCGTCACGAAACTAGAATGCGTGTGAACTTTTAAGTGAGATGGAGCTTTTTTTTTTAATGGCACGGAGGGAAAAGGATCGATAAATTTGGGCGCGCGGGCGGGAGAAGGGGGGAGAAACCGCGGAACCACCCCCGAGTCGGAAAACCCCAAGGGCCCCAAGCATCCCGTGCACCACCGCCGCCGCCGATGCCGGTGCCGAAGCCGATGGAGAGGAAGCAAGCCGCCTACAGCAACCTCGTAAGGATCCGCTTCTTCCACCCTCGTGGTCTCCTTCATTCCCTTGTCGATCACCTCGGGTCTCAGCTGAGCGGTCGCATTGGGGGCTGCAGGATGAGAGGTACGCGATCCAGGGGGAGAAGTACCAGGGGCAGCAGTACAGCCACATCTACTTCACGCGCCTCCGCCACATGCGGAATCTCCTCCACGCCCTCGTCCCCTCCTTGAAGCCGCTACTCCCAGGTCGGGCCCAATTCCCCTCTCCTCCCCTCTCGCGGTTCGAGTGTGATAAACACCAACATTGTAGATAGGGTAGTTTAAGTAGGGCTTCTGTGCTAATCTGTGGCTCGCTGGTCCCGCGAGGTTTTGGTCTTAAGTCAGTTTCTGGAGGCATTGGATTGGCAATTGGTTCATAACTGGAGTTGGTGTGCAAAAACTAAGGCACTGTTAGCCCGGATTAGGGTTTTAGGAGAAGCCTGGCGTTTTAAATAGGGGCTTGAGCTGCTCTGCCAGGTGAATTGGCCTATATTTCGTTATAAAGAATTTTGTGACATAGCTTATATATGTGATTGTTAGCTGAGGTCTTTATTGGTACACTAGCGTAGCTTCCGTGATGAATGATTGCTGCCTTACACTGCTTTCTTTTTTGCTTTGTCACATAGATGCTTTGCCCTTGAGCTGGTAAATTTAACAATTAAAGATTTCACTAACATTAGTTGGTGAGCATGAACAGAAATCTTAAAAAGAAAGGTGCCTCCTTGCTGGCAAGATTTAATTTTGTATCCTATTTACTATTCCAATTTCTCCAATTTAGTAGCTAAGTTTTTATATTGGCTCGCCAAGCCACGAATCCTATTTACTACTACAATCACAAATAAGTTTGTCTTAGGTATCAGTGGTCTTCAAGCACAACTTTGACAATTATTTTGAATAGAAATCGATACATATAACTTACATGTTTCCAAACTAAATAATGTAATAGTTATTTATGCCTGTAGTTTTTAAGGTTTGACCAAATCTTGCCCTGAACAAGTTTTTGTGATTGGAGAGAGTATAAATTATAGCAAAAGTTTATTTTTATGAAACTATATTCAGAAACAAAAATACTCATACCGTTTTCAAATACAACAACAACAACATAGCCTTTCAGTCCCAAGCAAGTTGGGATAGGCCCATACCGTTTTCAGATATCTGTACCTAACATTAAAGGAAAAGTGGATTCTTCCATCCGTCCTATTTTACTTCATACAAGCATATTCATATTTGTTAGTCTTAATAAAAGGTAATATGCAACCAAAGTTTGAAATGGTTGGCCTAAAAAACTCCAAATGGTCACTTATTTGTGACTGTAGGGAGTAGGACTGCTATTGTGTACCTTGGAAAGATGTTTTGGTGGTACAGTTATATTTTCCCATGGAAGTGGTTCATACGACAGGTTTTTGCTTATGCATGGAGAGAGTTCAAGCACACTTTTTTTTCCTACATTGCAGTCACTACAGTGTTAGGACTCGAAGAAGGAAAGGATTGCATACTTGTTGGAACTTTATATAAGCACATGAAGTTGAAGCCTTCCATTCTTGATGAATATGCCAAAGAGGTAAAATGACCTGAAAGTTAGTTTTATGTACCTACAAGTATAGTGGTTGTCCCTGATAACAAATGAAGTATCTGCATCAACCTTTCCCCCTTTTTTGCCAGAGGTCTGCAATTCCTCTTGTCAAACCGCATAATTTCATGCATCCTGATGATCATCTCATTCTGGAAGATGAAAGTGGAAGGGTTACACTTGCAGGAGCCATACCCACAGCAGCTTTTGTGACTGGTAAGTCTATCACTTCCACAAACTAAAAATAATGCAATCAGATTTCTTTCTCTATTGATGTATAATTTCAGTTTTTACTCAATAGACAATCTTGATGCCTCTGCCCCCATAATTTTTTCCCCTGAAAATCATGCTCAATCATCAATCATTTTCAGGGGTTGTAGTGGCTCTCCATGGGAAGGAAACAAGTGCTGGCAACTTTCTTGTTGAAGATGTTCTTGAGGCTGGTCTTCCTCCCCAAACTGCATTGTCTAGCGCAGGTAATATTCTCCATATTGCCATGTGTTCATATTTCAACATTTTCTCCCAAATTTTTAACGATGATCGAATTGCTCTGAAACTGCATTTACTTTGGTTACAGCAGAAGACAAGTATGTGGTATTCGTATCTGGGCTAAGTGTAGGAAGTGACACATTCAATCCTCTACAATTCCAACTTCTTATTGACCATGTCACAGGGCATCTGGGTGATGAGAATGTATGCTAGTTGTCTTTGTAAAGTGTAAACTATTGTACTAAATATATTCTAATATGGATAATCTTTGTTCGAAATCACTCAGGAGCAATCCATAGCATCAAATATAGTACGTGTTGTGGTTGCTGGGAATTCAGTGCATATTTCACCAAGGTTTGTCAACGGTCAGGTAATGGCATTCAGTTTCACATGTTTTCTGTGGTACATATTGTGTTGCTTCAGTATGTCATACTAACGATTAGTTTTAATATGTCAGACGGTAGCATCAAAAGATCAATCCAGGATAGCAGAGCCTATCAAGGAATTGGATATAATGCTTACCCAGGTTAAAATTATTGCTTTTTCTTCCATCAAATTTAGTCATCGCAATGGTTCTGCTCTGACATTGACCTTTATGTAATCCATGCTATCTTCAGCTTGTGGCTTCGTTGCCTGTAGATATGATGCCGGGGTGTCATGATCCGGCAAATTTTTCTTTGCCTCAGCAGGTGGGCTATTGACGTGGATACATACTTTTGATTTGTACTAGCAGCACTCAAGTGTGCATTTTGTGCATGCATGGCTAACTCACTTATTGTTTAACTGCAGCCTCTGCACAGATGCCTTTTCTCTGGGGCATCCACCTACAACACTTTTTCGTCATGTTCAAATCCCCATCAATTCGAGCTTGACAGTGTCCAGTGAGTGTCAAGCTCTCATTTGACTAACCTCAATATTTAAGCAACTTGGAGGTTTTGAGACAAGAAAGTTCTCTATGTAGGTTTCTTGGAACATCTGGCCAGAACATAGATGACCTGTACAAGTACTCTGATGCTAAAGACAAGCTGGAATTCATGGAAAGAACACTGAGATGGCGCCATCTTGCTCCTACTGCTCCAAATAGCCTAGGTAACTTGTTTCCAGCTCAAATTGGCATACCAACTGCACCAAAATAGTTAGATAACTATTATCATAACCCATTTATTTGTATGTGAATCCGTACATGATTTGGTGATTGATTTTTTTGGTAATTGTATAATCCAAAGCTAGAAAACACTTATTTGGTAATTCTATTCAGGCTGTTATCCATACACAGACAAGGATCCTTTCCTTGTTGAAAGTTGCCCGCACGTCTACTTTGTTGGGAATCAAGATAAATATGAAACTCGACTGTTGGAAGGTAGTACTTCATGTAAAGCTTCATAATATTGCTTGAACATCCAACTTACCCTCCTTGTTATCCAGGGCCAGAAAAACAGAAAGTGAGGCTAATCTCCATCCCAAGGTTCTCTGAGAGTGGAGCTGCTGTAATGGTATGTTCTTATATGATTGGGTACCAGTAGATCCACTTTATTATCTTGGTAATCAGAGACAGAGAAGAGAAGAATTCTTGATTCAGGCATTTGCTACTTTTACGATAACGACATAATAAAAATTCAAAGCTAAAAAACATGCCCCACTTTATTCTACAGAACTTTAGACACAAGACTGTACACTTTGCTTTATTTGATATTTTCCTCAGCACTGAGTCTCGTTGGATATAATTAGATCAGTTGGTAACAAAAATCTCTCTTTATGCTAGTGCAGCTCAATCTGAGGAACTTGGAATGCAACACGTTGAGTTTCTCTACAAGCTTTGATGCCTGAATATGCTCTGATGTTTGGAAGCGCAAAAGACTTCATGAACCCATAGGGGGTTCATGGAAGGATGTATTTGTATTAGAACAGCCAGAACAGTTCTTTATTAGATGTATGATGATGACCTTAGGTTTTGCCAATTAGATCTGTTGGAATGCAGTTGTTGCAAGTTGTAACCACAACTGAAACTGAGGCTGGACCGTGTGTAGCGTGTAACAATAAAATTGGTGCGCATGCCTCGTTTTACAATCACAATCAGCTAACACGTTTGTCAGATGTGCTTTTGTAATCATTTCTGTGCGTCTGTAATGGATACGCGGGCCAAATATTTGTAGTAAAAACATCAACATAAGTATGTTCACCAGGTGGTAGCTGATTGAGCGATCAAACAATGCATAGCTTTAAGGGTGTGTTGAGTTTGGGAAGCTTAGCACCAAACATCTTAATTACTGCAAAATCATGATGACTCTTTTGTACCAAATGGGCATAATTACCAATTATCAAGTGCAGTACGTGAAATAAAATGAAACATTTGGCAGATCGAAATTTGACATCAACACCAGGTTCCTAAAAACAGCACTGTAGTATCTCCTGAACTGAAGCAGGGGGGACGGGGGAAATCAGATCACTCAGGGCGTGTTTGATTTCTGGGCTGTGGGAGGCTAGGCCCGTGAGCCAGGCTCTGGCCAGCCACGGCCAGGCCCAGAGTGGACAACTGCACCTGTTTGATTTCATTGTAGCAGTGGAGCCAGGCCCAGCCTAACCTGTGTTTGATTGCATCACTTCAGCCAGGCCCATCATCAACTATCTCCAACTGCCAGTTGGAGATGTTGTTTGATTTTGGCCCGGCTGGGCACATCCCACATAACAGAAACGGCAAGGAAGAAAGAACAGATGAAATAAGGTTGTAAACCCACACTGGCCTCAGACTAATGGCATTGATTGGTGCATGATTAATCATAGTTTCATCCAAATAAACAAAGAAGATTCTGACAGAGAGATCAGCAGCATAAACATCATCATAGTCTGATGCCACATACATTGTCTTAAATCATAGAGGTCGACCAGCCAAAGTAGGAAAAACATGAAGCTACTTAATAATGCCTAGGTTATGTCATCATCGGCCTACAAATTGCACTTACAAGAGGGATACATGTTAACCCTCTGCCAAAGAGCAAAAACCATGACACACAGAGCTAGAATAACCACATTTTTCCAACCACCTTGCTTACCATCAGGTGAACCAATAGGGAAAGCAGAAGTATGCATAGCCTGCGGTTCTTGGGAGACAAATGCAAGAGCTTTTGAAGCATTATAAGCATCAACAGCCTGATCATAGGTTGCATACTTCTTGTACCTAGCATTTGTGTAGCCTAACACATGAAGATTGCATTCATACCAAGACATGTAAATCCCAGGCTTCCTTCCCTCAAAAACAACATAACAAGGAGCCATTTTCTGTGAAGAACAAAAGTTTAATTAGCCTCAGTCAAATATGACACATGAAAGAACCCATGAGTGCGACATTGAAGATCTAGGGGTTGGTTGAAACCAATCCAAAGATCCTAAATGCCACACCAATGAGGTGGTTCATCAGGATCAGACTAACATTGTGACGTGACATCATTGGCTAAGAAAAGAGTGGCCTTAGCTCTTATATATGGTACTTCAATTCATATATGCTCAATCTAAGGTGCCTGCACATGTAAACAGTATGAACCCAACAACATGGCAGCCATGGAACACTTCTGTCCATCCATTCTCTGCCATCAACCTAGTGATTCACTGGAGTTGCTACAGAATGGATGGTCCAGACGTGCTTGATGACAATCATGATAAACACCATCAGGAAAAATCAGCAGTGCAGACATGTCATATCTACTTGCCATGTTTTGCATCACAAGCCAGTCAACACCACCAAGCAAGCCACAAAAGTATTGATCAAACAATGCCTCAGTACATCATAGGCTACTTATAGCAACACACTAGTGCCTCAGTCACTTTTTTGAACAAAAATATCTGACATCATAGGCATGAACAAATGAGGCCTCAGCATATGAATTTGCTGCTACATTCTCAACTCAATCATTGGTGGCTTTATTTCCAAAATGCAACACAGAAAAACCAGTAGTTAAACATCAGCGCCAAGCAACCTCCCAAATCATGAAGACCATGAAAGCCATAGGCACATCCATTCCCTGCCATCACTTTACTTAGGTTGCAGTGTTGCATAGGGAATGGATGTGTCCCATGGGTTGGATGACCACCATGAGAAACACCAATAAGACATGCAAAATGAAAAGAAACAACCACCTCATTATAGTTTGTTTAGATTGCATCATTGGCTAGAACCCATTCCTCTCATTACTGCAGCATGTTAACAGTTGAATCCAGCTGAAATCATAGAATAACATCAGCAAGAACCCAACACAGTTGATATAGACAAGAAAGGTAAGCAAACCAAGCAGCCAACAGAGGCTGCATATTAATTCAACATGGTTGTGTCCAAATAGCAGTTTAGCCCACAAGAAGTAGGCACAAATAGCAGTACCCAAGTCACACTTGGTCACCTATAGTTAGCCACCCTACAGCTACACTAACCCAAAAGGACAGGTGCTTGTCAGCCATCTACCGGCACAGTAGCTACACCAAAATGGAACCCAAAAGAGAAGAGAGTGGATGAGGGAGGTAGAGGAACTATATATCTCAACAGTCAACTCTCTCTTTGCCTTGCTGTCATAAGTGGACATAACTACATATAGTAGTTCTTGGCAAGGTATTTCCTCAGCCAAATGTCCCTATGGCTGATTGCCATGTTCACAAAGCCTGTGCCAAGGCCTTGTTTTCCAACAGGTAGGTGTAGGCAACAATGAGGGCTTCAGTGGTGAAGCCATGCATCTCCATGAATGCAAGATAGAGGTCAAGATCCACATGTGCAGGACCTGTCTCCCTAAGGGCATTAGCCACATTGTTGACAGCATCTGTCATGTTGGTCATCATAAGCATCTCATCCTCACTAAAGTTGGGCCTCTTCCTCTTTCCCCCTAATGTTGATGTGAGCAGCTCAGTGGTCTTGCTGCCCTCACCAACCTCAGTGGTGGTTTTCACATCAGCGCCACTGGTGAATCCATTGCCCTCTATCTTAGCCGCCACACTGTCAGCTTGGTTGACCCCAAGAGGCTCACTAGGCCCTATAGCATACCTACCAGTGGCCATAGAACCATCAAAGATGGTCTCCATCTCAGTGTAGAACCTGATAGGTGTGTTGAGGAACTCAACATCCTTAGGGTGGTCCTGCATGCATTTTATTTGATTAAACAAACAGGGAAGATGAGAAACAGTGACCACAAGTGTTCATGACTAATTGTCTACCTTGCAGTGCCCTAGGAAGTGCTCTGGATCCAGTATAATGGCATTGGTCTCCTGATCAAATAGTGCACATCTAAGGTCTTTCAACTTGCACACCCTAGCCCACTTCTGCCTCCACTTCCTCAAGTGGTTATACACTTGAGTTGGGCTCACAACCTCACCAGTATACTCCTTAAGAAGCTTTGCCACTGAGTTCACATCCTTATCCTTGAAGCACTTCTCAGCCCTACTCCCATCAGACACAATTTGGGCCATCCTCCTAAGGACAAACCCTGATGAGTTGTTATTCCACCTCATGGGGCCTTGCACCACCAGCACCCCCTTGGGTAGACACTTCCATAGGTGCATCAGCCTCCACATCAACAACATCAGATGCAACACCAACACCAGCAGCAACAGCAGCTGTTATAGTAGCCCTAACTACTGTTTGCCCTCCAGCAACCCCAGTAAGCAACTGAGCAGCAGATGCAAACCCAGCAGCACCAGCAGACCCATCAGCACCAAGTAAAGCCATCCTAAATAGGTTACCAGCCAAATATGAAGTACACCATATGAAAACATACAATATTAACAGCAGATAGAAGAAAGGAAATTATTAAAAATCAGGTCTCAGACATGTCCAACAAATATGACATGAGCAGTACCCATACATGAGTTCCATACCAGGGTGTCCAAATGAAGTTATACAACAAATGAATGATAAACTAAATTCTAGAGGTCCCCCTACCAGCCCACATGGTATTACAAATGCCATCCTGTGGTAGAATCGCCCGAAATAACACGCTTTCGGAGGCGCTCGTCTTCCACTAGGCACTAAGCACCCCGAAAGTTAGCTACATCGGACAGTTCCGTCGAGCACACCCCAAGGGAGAACTCGAACAATCCACGTTTTACATCTAGGATCCAATAATGAGAACGAGTTTACAATACTTAGTCCATTTCATACAACAAGAGTTCTCAGAAATACATTATTATAATACCAAGTTTAGAGTGCGGAATTTAAATAGCGGAATTAGAATAAACATCTAACGATAAGATACAAGGATCCATCTGTGCCCACCAGAAGAATCCTCCACACAACAGCCACTCCTCAAGCTGCACTTGCAACAGGGGTAAATAAACCCTAAGCACACAATGTACTCGCAAGACTTATCCGACTAGTGGGAATAATTTCCCGGCTCCAAAGGATATGATAAGCTTTATGGTTTGCTGGGTTTCCTTTTTACGAAAAGCATTACTAGTAGTGAATCCTTATGTATATTTCTTATTAGCAGTCATGATTAGTTCATTAGCTAACCATTCTATGTAAGCACATGTTCTACTTTCAAGCAAGAGTTGAGCAATCAGATCAATTTTACCATCTTTCATCTTCTAGTTCTTACTACGGTGCTAGATTATAGATAAGTCGTACCGTATCACACGGCAGTTCGTAAACCAATGTATCCCAGCTGGGTACCCCAAAACACACACCCCGCTTGTACACCAGACACAAGCAAGACCAACCCACTACTCTCCTGTCAAGGGGTCTAGGTCCCCGTCCAAACTTGGACTCTAAGCCCCCACTCCTGAGTCCCGGACTCAGTGTGGTGCTTAGACCTCCACCATCCCCGCCTCCAATCAGTCGGTCCAGAAAGAGCCAAAACCCACGATAAGAGAGCAACGAGCCTTCCTGCTCCCATAAGCAAGTATGTGCTCAGGATAATAAGTCTGTGACCTGACTAGAATCCACAGCAATGGACGGTCCTTAACCGACACGGACAGAAAAAATAGTGTAACCAAGCTATGCCCCGTTGGCCGTGAGACACAACCTATTACATCCACCAATACTCGTACCATATCCTTGCCCGGTCTTCATTTCCTTTCACCATTTTATCATGAGAGTAATAATAATAATCACCTATTGTGAGTAATGACAGGTTACTCACGCTACCGATTGCTTAAGCATAGCAGCTACTCGACCTCTACAAGTAGGACTCATGGGTAGGTTTATCTATGCATGTAGTTTCAATATACATCCTGTACATAAATGCATATCACACACACACACATATATATCCAGTGATCATTCAAAATAAGGGTTATGCACCAGGGCTTGCCTTGGGTAGGCGCGATGTCAGCTGAGTCAGTCAGTGGTGGCTCCAGGGCCTCCTCCTACAAAGGATCTCCTCATCGTACTCCTCGATGATTTCCTTGAACTCGTGATCGCCGATGGTCACCATCTCCACCAACTCGTTCTCTACATGCATGCGATGATGATGCAACACTTAGCATTTTGGCAACAACAACTCTTAAATAAGAATACACATGCTAAGCCACTAAGCTAGCTCTAATGACTAAGATACTAAGCTAATCATTATCTCTGTCAAATAGATTTCAAGCTCACCCTACAAGTGCTTAACTTTTATAAATCAACAACATGCCATTATTTCTTTAGCCTTAATGGGTATTTAGCTACCATATTAAGTAGTCTATTATAGGGCTACAAAAAAATTACAGTGAGCACATAATAATACAATGAAGCTACTATAAAAATTTTAGGGTT